GAGTGAAAAAATAAAGCATAGTACTTTTGACTTAAAAAACCGATTAAAAAAGCGAAAACTGGAACTAGTAATTTTCGTTTGAACGTGCGCCTTAGGAAGTGATAACAAAATGGCGTCGCCAATAATTATTGGATACCGCGGTAACCTAACTGTGGTCAGCTACTATTTTGTGTGTACAGATCAATTGTTATTAGTTTCCAGCCGTAATAACCGTTTTACCATCCAATCTAGGTCCGAGTGTCCTTCCAGCATTATTATAATAGAATACATCACTGGCGATGATCTAACTGAACAAACACCGTTACAAATATTTTGCCCGTATTTATCAATCGAATTAACATTAAAAGCAAGTATTGGCTTGAGGCCACACAAATATGCACATCGCTGTGTGAAAAAAAGTAAGTAATAATAACAGTATAATTATTGTATTAGAATTATAAATTGCAAATCAAACGCCAACAGACATTGGAAATAAGTTCAGAAAAAATTCAAATAAACCGTTAACGCTAGACACATAGGTCCAGAGCATCAAATCATTTTATCGGGTAACGTAAAGTCTAAAACAAAATTGCCCTTGGTAACATTAGATGGACAAAAAATAAATTATTGACTATCGTTTAAAAAATAATTAGTTCCTTTTGGAGCAAACAATTTATCGTAAGTAAAGGTCATAGAAATTAGTCAAGAAAATACTGATTTAACAAGGATTGAGAAGTGGACGTTTTTTAAATATCATACTTTTGAATAATAAATATAAATTACTAATAGTAATTACTACAAGTCAATTTTTATGATACTATCCCTTAAATAAGTTGTTGTGGTTTCTGAATATTGATCAAGACCATTTCACAGAAGCACCCAATTTGCAACTAGGATTTGTATAAATAATATTATTGAAGAGTAAAAAAAAAAAGAATGTTTCTGATAAATGAAATCATAAATAGTCATATGTAATAAAATTAATCGTAAATTTATATTTACATCAAAAATAGATAATACAAACACAAACACTTAATAACATGGTATTTATTATTATATTATATGCAATAATAATTAATCATTAACTTACTATATATGTATATATATATATTTATAAATATATATATATTACGTTATTTATAATATATATGTATATTTGTATATAATTATAATATATATAAATATATACATATATTATATGGTACAAACGCAACAAATTTATTGAGGTAACAGGATTTTTTTTTTTTATCTTAAAATTACATATTTTAATTGTTTTTGAAAAAAAAATTAAGAAACATATCAATGATTTTTGTTTCTTTTCTTTTTTTTTGTTAATATTAACTGAAAATATGTATATGTGTAAATATATATATAAATATATGTATATAATTTTAATTTTAATTTTAACACTAATATATAAATATATATATATATATATAGATAGATAGATACTCTAAACTAAGGAATAAAAATACAAATACAAAGCCTATGCACTAAGCAGGTTAACGTCGGAAAAGGCTGATAACTAATGGTGTCAAATTTAATAATAGTAATAATTAATAATAAAAAAATATAATAGTTATAATAATAATAATAATAATTATGTATATGGAGAACAAAAGAACCAACAGATATTTTAAAACGATAATATAAACTTAAACATTTTAATCATTAAAAAAAAAAAAAAAAAACACATTTCGTCATTTTACTTTTTAAATAGAAGTTTAAGAAACGTCTCTTACATCCAAAAAAATATTATTTTTTTTAACGCTTTACACATTATATTTTATAGTAATATATTTTATTTAAAAATATTCAATCACAATGTTTGATCACGAATTCATACGAAAACCCTGGACGCTTTATGCTTTAATTATGATTAAACATTTTTTTTTAATACGTCAAACTACCAAATTTCTAAGAAATACAATAAGAGTTTAACATCATGTCGTGTAAAAACATCATGCTATACACTTTGGTTGTGATTAAAACATATCGCCAATTTTTTTTTTTTATGTCTATGAATTCCTCATCCCTCATTAATCGGCAAACGTTGCCGCACGTTAGCCTCAAAGCACGAATGGTGAAAAGGAAGACAGAGGCCTATATAATATACCGTGTAACGTGCAGCTACCAAACTAACCGTATTTCATATAGATATATGTATGTATATAGAACAAAAAAAATACTATTATATTCACAGGGATGTCAGAATCTTACAAATGTGCGTACCTTCAAACACGAAACGAACAATAACTATAGTAAGAGAAGAAATTAAACAATGAGCAAGTACATAGTTTAGTATTACTTAAAAAAAAAATATATATATATATATATATATTTATATGTAAACGGTAACTCATAGTTTCGTACAATCATTCTTGTTTATATCAATTTATAAATTTTAAAATTATGGTTTTTTTTTTTCAAAATAAATATTCCTCAAAGCTTAACATTATGAACCACAAAGGTATATAATAATAATTAATACAATAATATATGCACTAAATTCTATGTATACACGCATAAATAAATAAATCTCTAAGCCTAATCAACTATTAAACTTATGTTACAATATAGTATATAAATATATAATATACCTATAGAGGAAATAATATTAAGGCGAACGCTAAAATTTGTCCATCACCTTCTACCAGGAGAAAAATAAATAAATATAACATTTTTTTTTTTGTTTTTTTTTTTATAAGTATTTTGTTTGCTGTTAAAAATTTAGAGTAGACGGAATGTTCCTTTTTTTAAATTTAATTTTGTATTACACAATATCCAAAATACGAACGCCGAAAACAATCGAAACGAATTCAGTTATGCCCAATTATCCCTGAGAAAAAAACCAATAATATTAACATAATATAATAATAATAGGGTTATGTGGTTGATACAAATCAATATTCTTTTTAGAAAAATATTTGTACTCTTATTATAGAGGCAATGGTTGTTGTTCTATACATTGAATAGTTCCTATTAAAAAAATACTTTTCGTCCCTATACAAAAGTTATACTTACAAGAGAAAAATATCGTTTAAAACAATTGTGCAAATATCGTAAATGATATATATAAATATATATATAGCGTTCTTTAATGTCGAATTACTAAAAAAAAAAAAATAATAATATAAAATTACTTCAGAACACATCAAATACTGGAACAGCGATTATATTATCACACTTTTTTGGTCTCTTTGCTTGAATTGCTTCCAGACTTTTCAGTATCGTTCTCAAAATACCCAAATAAAAAAAAAAAAGTTAAACATTTAATCTGAGTAACGGATAACGAGTAATACATTAACAATGGACATAAAATATATATTTATTTTTATACATTTTGTTTAAAAACTGAAACAGCGTGTAGGAACTGAAACGACTTTTAAATTAAAAAAAAAATGTAGTTGCGAAGTTGTTTTAATAATTTTTTTTTTTTTTGTTAAACCTTGAGCATTTCTCTGTTTACTGGCCTTTTGAGATTTGGTAACCAAACGTTAAACATCTAATTCTAAACGTTAAAACTATTATTATATACACACATCTAATAGTATATATAGAGTATTTATACATTTACGAACATATTTAAAAATATTAATATTATTATTATTATTAAATTTACTGTGCACATATGCACTAATAAAAAAAAAAAGTATTAGACATCGGAAGGATTATTTTGCAATAATTTTTAAAAACAAAAAAAATAAATAATATTAAAATTAATAATAAATAATATTTATGTGGTGTGTACTTGTGTATGTGTGTGTCTGTGAGTGTGAGTGTGTCGATTTGTGTTTCAATTGTGTGTACGTGGTGTCTGTGAGAGTAGTTTTGACCAACATCGCGTACGTTTATTTAATGACGCTGTCGACGAGATCAGTTGGTAACTCTGTATAACTCAAAATTGTGTATTGTAGTTGTCATGGTAACGTGACCGCCACAGGAGCTGGCAGCAACACGTGTAGTGGTTGTTTTTGGTCTCTGGGATAAAAATTGTCGGCCATTCCTGAAAGACAAATCGTAACGTAAGACCAACGTGTAACAACATTTATGGTAAGCGTGTAAATAATAGTAAAATAAAAAAAATCGGTCTAATCCAAATCTAATGTAAATGAATTGTAAATGCGTTTGTGGTGATCCCTCAACGCCAGATGCGTTACGAATAACGTTGCCGGTATGATGCTAATCTGAATTATTAAGCCGTTGCGCGCGATACAGCTCTACGTCGATGCACAGACATCGGTCGGCTAACAAAATACACTACAGTGTGAAATATTATATATATACTCAAATAATACATGGCACACACACACACACAATGACATTGTGGCGTTGCTGTGGTTTTTTATGGCGTTAAAAAAAAAAAAAAAATACCTAGACACATTAATATTTAATAAATTTAATTTTTTTTCACATTATATTTCATTCGTATTACAACGATTGTGGCCTAATTAAACGTGTGTTTATGATATCTGTTGAAAATTGCGAGGCGGTTGGTGTGTGTAATAACATACATCATACATACATACATACACACACACACGCGGTGTACTTAATGATGCGAAATGTCGAGACCGGTTTGCCTTGACACCGGCCCGAGTTCGCATAGATAGATGAAATAAAAATAAATAAATAAAAAAGTAATAATAAAATAGTATACTTATAATAATAATAATATATCGGTTGTACTTAAAAATAATATACGCGTGCGCTAAAACCAGTTGCGCGCGGTCGACGAGTAAAACGGGTTAGACTTGTTAAACTTGCGGCAAAATGCATCGCGGACCGAATTTTTTTTGGGGGTTTTTTTTTTCCAGTAAAAATTCAAAATCGATTAATACAAAAAAAAAAAAAATGTACCCAGTTACTATTATTTAAATTTTCGTTCACTCACGTATCGGACGTGTAGTACACACGCGAAACGTTTGTTGTCCCTTCCGTCCATTTTTTTTGTCGATGATGTTGTTGTTGTTGTTTTCAATAATGATGTTTTGTTGCGATGTCGTTATTGACAATCATAATTTTTGTTGTTTATTATTATTTTTTTTTTTTGGGGGGGGAGGGCTGTCGGTATGGTGACGTTTTTACTGTGGTGTTTTTCGGATTTGTATGTTATTTTCGCTTGGCGTGCAGCATCTCCATGAGCAACGTCTGCGTGGGAGCGCCGCCGCTACAGTGTTTCATGTAAAGGCTTTCTTCGCCCCTGGTGGCTATGTGATGGATGTCGGGCAGCACGGACAACAGTTTGGAGAACTTGTCCTGCGAAAATCACACAACGAATCAAATCAAGTTTCGGATATTGGCCGGGGAAAAGATTGTGCAAAAACCACTTGTATAACAACGAGTCTAGTTACCTGGACTTGAGAATTTGCTGTGATGCAATAGTCCAACAGGGCCTTCAACACTTGTTCGTGACCTTCTTGGACGTGTTTACTGTTCCCGATCCCTTTGACGTCTAAACGATAGGAGGAAAAACAAAACACACTGCGGGTTAGCGACAAGTCATTGGGGGAGGGTTTTTTAATTTTATTTCCTATAATTACCGGGGTTCAAGAGCAGCAGGAACTTTAGGCAAATGTAATCGCCGACGTCGAACTTGAGCTCCTGTAGCCGGTCGATGACCCGGGCGAAACAGTCGGCCATCGTGGTCACTCCCAGCAGACCCAGGGCGAGCAGGTCGAACTTTTGACCGTTGTGCAACATGATCTCGTTGGCCAGGTTGTTGTGCATGTGCTGGTGGATGTGGTCCAGCACCAGCATGTCGGACCACGAGTGCTGCAACAGTTTCATTTGATCGTCCACCTGAGAGCAAAAAAGAAGAAAAACCCGAAATATTAATATCAAGTAAGTATATGTTGGCAAGTACACCCGAAAAAGATTGCCTTGGCCCGGCTAATCGCTACAGGGTGAGATGATGGCCGCTGTCGTTAGTCATAGGTAATAATAATAACAAAACCTCACACACACACACCGCATAGTTGCGTAACGGCAAAGCGATTGTAATAATGTTTCCAATATTATAGCTATACACACACACGCCTATAACCTCCTAGGTATACAGTATACAGCGTGCACACACAACGACGTTCTCACCGCATCACGGACTTCCATTTACGCATAACGAATTGTCGAGACCTTGAAAAGTGAAAGAAGAGTCTCCGACACATTTGTCGCAACACAATGAAAATCCGTAACGCGTTTGGGGCCCGTCGTAAGAATAACGATAATAATATAACGATGATAATATTTTTTTTTTTTTTTTATTAAATTTTTATCATTATTCTCCTTTGAGCAAGTCCTATTTATATAAAACGGGGAGAAACAACAGACGGGAATTCTCGAGACGGACGGGGACCGGATGGGTTTTTCTTCGCTTGTAATCGGATCGAGTTTTCCGCTTTCACCGCCGGCACCACCGGAGGAATCTACCGCTTAACACGTGTCCTTGGAGTGTTCCAAGGCCAATGTCGATTTCACTCGGACGGAAAATCCACAGCCGGAAAATCCGAGACCGACGCCAGAAAACCGTCAGGCGTCTCGTTCCCCTCCTCTCTGCTCTGCTCACCTCCTCAACAATACCGTGTCGACTCGGCGACAACGCTATAATCGCTGGCGGCGGCTGCTACCTTCCACGATTTAGGTATAAAATACTACTAAATCCCCAATTCAGTGTTTTTTTTTTATCTCGAAAAATATACTTTTGGTATTTTCCTGCGCTTCTTCTTCTGTTTTTTTTACAACAGAACATTGGAAACGTTCCAAGAGACTTGCACCGAGACGACGGCCAGTGGGCGGCGGTCATATCGTCAAGACGGTAGTCGCGTGTGTGCAACCCTTTATAAGGAATTATAAAGTCTGGGCGGATCGACAAACGCTTTATTTTGTTAGATCACAACCGAAAGAGGGAAGGCGAAATACCGCGTTGAAACGAAGACAGGATGATTTAGGTAAAAACTAAGCAGCCGAAACGACCACTCGAACGTCTTTCACTCAACCCTTGGGGGGGCTTATTAAACGGTAAAAGTTTTTTTTCATTTCATCCGCCTAATTTCGAGACCGGGACCGGCCAACTGAGTGATTTCCTTCGTTGTCTTTGCGCCTCATCCGTCCAACCAAACCACATTTCGCTTGCATAGCGAGTACTCAAACACATGACTCCTACATCAGCTTGTTGCTTTGTCGTTTTCCGAAGTATACACCCGGAGGGGGGGGGCTCTTCCCGAATTTCAGTCGTTATACGAGCAAGACCGACGAATTGTTTATTGGGATTTCAGGCCGACGACACGTACAAATAGAATAACAGTCATTCGTGTGCGGAATCGAAGGAGTCAGTGTCCAACAATGTTTATGTTTGCCAGAAGTTTTTTTTTTTATACACTTCCGCGTTAGGCGATCGGTATAATTTTTTTTTTTTTTTGTATACGTTTGCCGAGAATATTTATTTTCAAGGTGACAAAAATTGGCATCAAGCGGTTCATAGACACACAAACACACACAAGTGAATCACAGTGTTTATTATTTTGATAACGTCTCGGGTTTTGTGACCGGTGATCGCTCCTGGTCAACACCGGCATGCAATAAACCCGTTTGCGGAAAATCCTTGTACTTAGGCTCGACGATTAATCTATTTAAGCCGTCCGCTCTATAGGTCGGAAGCTAAACGCGAAATCGTCGAACGGGGCCAATTATTATTATTGTAGAAATACGGGTACCGCACACCTTCTCTCATCCTTCTTACATTTGTACCAGTTTATTAGAGGTAACAACATTTTAACCCGAATCGCAGAACAGTCAAATGAACTATGTCGGTTTAACTAGTTTCCCTCACCTCCAATTTTTAAAAATTTTAAACGGATAAGAACTTCTGACGAGACCAAAAAGATTACACAAGTGACATTTCCCCCCAAAACTGGTTCATCAAAAGTGTTTATCGATTATATTACATTTATACGAAGCGATTAAAAACGTTTTCGAGTATTTCAAATATTTCCAAACGGTTTGCAGCGATTCTACCTAGCTAGTGCGAGGCGTTTTATCTTTTAAAAACCGATTTAATGGTTTTTAAAAATGGCCAAGAACCCCGTTTGAAATTATTACAAAACCGTTTTAATCGCTTAATACAATAAACGTAGTAATGAGACCGCATTTTTTGATTTCTTTTTATGTAAAATGTTTACATGAATTATACTTATACCCATTTGATCGTCATCATAATTGTTTGGCCAAAAGTAAATATTTAAAAAATTCAGACTCGGGTTTTTTATCACTTTACAAATAGTCTGTCTATCGTTCCAAACAAAGTCTAACTAGGTCTGTGATGAAATTAACGTACATTAACAATATTATTGTCGTTAAAATCTATATAAAGTGGGGCGGCGGCGGCCCGTTTAACTACGGCAGTATTCGTTTTTCGTCAATCGACACTTGGCAACGTTCTACGATTATATGTATATTTATATTTTATTATTATTACAATATTATATAGGTTATCGGGCCAAAGCTCGGACGCGACGGGTACTACTACACATAAAATAGTACCGAGGGGCGCAGCAGCACGCAAGCACGCGAAGCCCTTTCAGGCGACACATAAACAAATAAAAAAAAAAAAATTTTTGCAGCGAAAAAAAAAACCCGACCTTTTTGTCAAGTGCGCCGCGTCGTCGACACGGTTGCCGTATTAAAAAAAAAATATATGTGTAAATTAAAAAAAAAAAACATTTCAAAAAACTAAAATTGGAAATCTATGGCGGTGGGCGGCGGCAACCGTCGCCACCACCGCCGCCTACGACGATGATGACGTTATACACAAAGACCCGGGCTACTAAAAAGCAATCCCCCCATCGATCGCCGGCCCGACCATGACCTACCGTAACCGAATTAACCTAGTTGCAGACCACCAGTCCACCCTCGCATCCACCCCTTACACACACAACAAGCACGGGCCCGGCACCGCCTTACCCGGGGTGTGTAATATGTATTTTCCGACTCCCCAAAGACACACACACACACACACACACACACTATACGACCACCGCCCGGTATATAAAAATATAATCAAACGAAATTGGGACACGGGTGTTCACCACCACCGAACCGCCGGCGCTAAGGGTAGTAATTTCGAGACGGCCGACAAATAGAAGGAATAGAAGCGGTTTTCGCGGAAAAAAAAGCGTGCCTCGACCGTCGTCCACAAACGTGTATTGTACGATAATAATAATAAATAGTAATTCCGCACAACAAGATACAACGACCTTATTGTTTTGGAAAAGAAAAATGTGTTTAAAAACGTACGTCGGTGTTTGGTAAACACAAACATTCGTGCGCCTTCGGTACAACAAACACACGCATAACGTAAAAAAAAGAAGAAAAGAAGACACGAGTCCGACCGGTGTTATGAATTTCATAGGTCGTCTCTTACCGACACGGCAGGACGGTCAAAAAACAAAAAAACCAAATAAAAAAATTAATATATACTTATGATAATTAGCGACAACTTTTCGCACTAGGCACAAAGCGCTTAGCTCTGTCGAATGCTAATGTGCTGATCGCCCTTTGTTGTCACACACACATACATACATACCGGTATCGCATCGACGCCAACAACAAACGCACAGTATCCGGTCCATATATATATATATATTTTTTTTTTTATTATAATATACTTACACACTACGTTGGAACACTACCGCCGCGCCGCTCCTTCTCTCGTCGTCGTCGTCGACGATAAAAATTATTATTTACCATGTGAATACAACATTCGACCCCGGTTTAAACAGAAAACAACAAAAAAAAAAAATATGTGAAAACCGAAAGTACACAAAAACGTTTTTTCGGTTTCACCGCTCCGCCCAAGCTCACAGGCGCAGTCTTATTATGTAACGCGGTTAAGGCCAGTCTGAAAATAAAAAAAAACTGTCACCACTCCTCTTCGCCGACAGTATATGGTCTGTTGCTATCCATCTCTGCGCCACCGGTAGACACACTTAAAACGGCCAAAGATTATAGAAATTATTTTTCGAATGGGGGCTAAGCCTCCCCAAAGCCACGCCTATCTTTTCTATTATATCCACCTCAAAACGGCCGATGCAAGTTAGGTACGTCTCTCTCTCTCTCTCTATCTAGTTGGCGGGGCGTTATCGAGTTGACCCAAAAACAAAAGTTAACGACCGGCGGAAAACGAACGTAGTTTTTCAAAGAAACAATAACTATAAAGGAACCATATTATAATTATAGGCACGTAAGGCGGCCCAACGGCGTTAACGAATAATAATAATTATAACCCGAACAGTAAATATATAAATAAATAATACATATTTTGTACGGGTCGAAGAAACGGCAACGCCGTCAACGAACAGGCGGCGGATGTGGGGCGCGAGGGGGTTACCGGCGTACACCGTCTGCCGTCCCCCCAAACCGGGCCCCCCGCACGACTACGGGCCCGCTGCGGAGCGGCCGGTACCGGCGTCATCGCGGCCGGCTTCACTTCGTGCCCCCGCGACTTCTCCTCGCTCACAACCACTGACACTGTACGGTAACGCGGCGCCGCCCCGACCGGGGTGACGACGACGGAAAAGCAATTTTTTTCCAGTTTCTCAAAAACATCCCCTCCGACATACGATAGGGTATATTGTACTAAGTTAACGGAGAGAAAACGGCGTTCGAGTGGCGCGTATTGTTTATTTTATAATTAAAAAATAATAATATAAATAAAATGTAAGTAAAACACGCAATAGGCGACGGCGCTCATTGTTCTCCGCTCACAATCGGTTTCAGTCGTTGAGTTTCTGAACGGACGGCGGCGGCGGCGCTAAAGCGTTGCGCAAAAACTATAAAAGCGATGGCGGCCAGCCTCGCGTATTCAATGCACAGTAATATAGCTCTGTGTAATAACAACGATATAGATATATACATGTACTAGCGGTTGTGTGTGTGTGTGTACGACGCGAACTTGGCCTCATTTCTTGTCGCCCCCCTCCGCTGCTCGCGATCAGCCACCGCGTGCATTCTACGCGGGACAGGCGGCCCGCGCCGCCGCAAAAATGGACCTCGGCCGCAGCCAACGCTCGTGATTCGAATGTACATAATTATGTCGCGATAAGTGATAATAATCAAGTTGGTGTTTTTCTCTCTTACCTTCAGATCTTTGAAGAACACAGAATTTCTTGCCCAGTCCACTTGGGAGAAGAGATTTTGATCGAGCACCTTGCACATGAGTTCGAACAGGTCCACTTCGCACTGGTTGTACGTTTGGCTCTGCAACAAGCTGAACAGCGAGTTCTGCCATTCCCGGTCGTCCAAGCCCTGTACGAAGTCCCGGATGATGGGCGACATGCCTTTCGGCCCACCGGCGGGTCCGACGGTAGAGGTTGCTCCGGGTGGCGTGGCGGCCGACGAACTGCCGCCGTTGTCCATGACGTGGTGCGGCGGCTGTTGTTGTTGTTGTTGTTGTTGCTGTTGCTGCTGCTGTTGTTGCTGTTGTTGTTGTTGTTGATGGGTAGTGGCGGCCAGCAGATAATTTTTGGGCGAAGTCGGCGGCGACCACGCCATCTTGTTTACGGATATCATCGACCCGGCGGATCCGACGCCCGGTTGCTGTTGCTGTGGCTGCTGTGTCTGTTGTTGGTGGTGCTGTTGATGTTGCGGCGGTTGTCCGCTGTTGGGCGCGCCCATGTTTGTCACCGAGTTGTTGTTGTTGTTGTTACTGCTGTTGTTGTTGTTGTTGTTATTGTTGTTGCCGTTGGCCGAAGCAACGATCTGCAGCGTCATCTGCGAATGTTGGTTGACCGCGCACGTGGTGCCGGCGGCCGCGGCTGCCGCTAGAGATCCTAGACCGGCCTGTCCCAGCGCCACAGCTATGGGACTGGGCGACGAGTCAGGCGACGACGTTAGAGAAGACACCTGCGAAACAAAACGCGGGTTAAAAACAATATTACACCGGTGTCGAGTCGGGTGAAGAAAATCACATACCTGGGGTATTTGGATTTCTTGTTTGATGTGCAGGCTGGACCCCGAGGACGTGATGGCCGAGCCCGAGTATTGGCCTAGCGTCACGGCGTCCCCGGCCGCCAACATGGCGAATTGGTGGTGGCTGTTGCCCGCGGCCGAAGTGACGACGCCGCCGCGCAACGTCTGCACGGCCATCTGTCGCTGTCGCATCATTTGCAACTTTCTCGCCCTGTCCCGTTTGTACATGGGCCCGAATTTGTTTCTGCCTCCTCGCATCCTGTCCGCCCGGACGGCTGTAAATAAAAAACAAAAAAAACTTAGTTTTTCATACTTCGGTCAAACAATAAATTAAAAATTAAGTTTATTTAAAAAAAGAAAAACAATGCAGACCGAGAGAGCGAAGCCAGAACTTCACAAAATGATGAGCACAACCTGACCCCGTTTGAAAATATAATATTCGCCTAACCCCCCTGGAACTTTGCAGCATACGTGAGCGGACTTCTTAACGTTTGCACTCATAAGAACATGTACACTACGATAATAATTAACGATTACAATATTATGCTCGATGCACAACACAAGCAAGTCAGTTGTACATCACGTTTTGTAGTACAACTATTGTATTGTGTGTAGTAGACTTTTACACACAGTTCGAGAAGCGTGAGCGCGCATTAATCCAAACCCGTCTCGATGTGCGTACAAATAATAATGATCAATATCGTTTTGACAATTGCCAAAAACGGCAACAAAAACCGTTTGTGTTGTAGTTTGCTTTAGTAAAGTGTTTGGCGTACACGCACAGTTGTGTGCACTGGACGTTTTGCGGTCGCGGCAAACAGGAAAACGCGTTTTCGGGAACAGAACACATACGACGACGACGGTGAATAAATTTCAAAAATAAACGAAAAAATCCCAACTCAAACGCACACCCGACGGAGTAGGTTAAGTAAACTGACAATTATTATTACACATACTATGACCCGAGCGTACGAACCTTTTCTTTTTTTTTTTATTACATTTTTTGTTTTTTAACCGGCGTACCTCAATCAGCGGGGCGATTATTACCGTGTGTACCCGGCGATCAAATAATATTACAATTATTGCGCTTTTGTGCGAGAGACTATAATATTATTTATTTTCCCGTCAACAATGGTTCTCACCGCATAGGTCCGAACACTGTGTTGTATGTGTATAATATACAGTACACAACAATAAAACGTGCATCTTCTCCCTTCTTCTCCGCCACCTCCTCTCGTCATCATCACGATTATTATTATTGAAGTTATTACCAAACGGATTCGAACAGCGAGCGGCGTGTAACAACCTATAACCTATAACACACCACTATCGTTGCACAGTGTGATCGTTCTCCAAGCGCACCTGGCCAAGTACAAGTTAGGATAATAATAATATCGAATTGGCATTTTTCTTTTGCCGCGAAACTGACCCGATATCATTGTCGAAGTTTCCACGTGGAAACGGATTTGTGCGAAAACTGTTAATACGGCTGCTATAGAACAACAAGCCGGGACGTAGTAAACAGACACGAGCAAACCGGTCGGCTCTCCAAAAGAATGACGCACGAGTACGTCAAAAAAAAAAATCAAAATAAATAAAAACGATTTTCAAACGGTTCGGCAAACATATTATTATGCGCGACGGCAGCAGCCAAGTTATCGGCATAGGGGGGAAACACGGGTAATGTTTTGACAATCATTTACATAAACGCACGTGATAATTAAATCGACCGTGTGATCCCATTTCGAATGCGACGACCACGATTAAAGGCATATTATTACAATACCGCAGTACAGAAATCCACCGGAGTGATACTCAGACACCCTATACTATATAGTGTCTACGGTGATAAACACAAGCAAACCACCCGAACACACGCATCACTGCTGCCAGTTGTTGTCCAGAGATCCAGAGATGACGTTAGATTTTAATAGTGAAAATTTACTTTTGTGCGCACAAATTATTATAATATAAAACAATTGGCGGGGCGGAACGCGTGACACATTCGGTTGCATCGTACAACAACAACAACAACATGATAATAGTAATAATGTCAACAAAAAAAAAAAAAAAAACCTCTAGATGTTCTCTATGACGTCAAATATCTTTGGAAAAGCCAAAAACATGTATTTGTCCACGTCACGAACAATAGTAATTATACTTAGGCGAGCAGAAGAAAAGGAAAAAAAAAAATAACCGATTCATTCGAGGAAAGCTGCGTTTGAGCTAGTTGTTATAAGACAATGCTGTTTACTGACTTTAGCACGCGGATAATGCTTATATAAAAAGATTTGTAAAAAAAAAAAAAAACAAAAGCATTGTTTTAAATCTTCTTTTTTACCACACACATATTTTCCCAAATAAAACTTCTTCTTTTCGTGTACACGTTTATAATATGTAAAATTAAGAAATACTAACTCATTTCTAAAACATTATTTATTAATTATCTAATATGTTTTACACGTATTCGCGTCACGTGTGCCAAGTCCTAACGCAACCGTTACGTCGTACGCCCGAACACCGTGGATCACACCGCGTTGAGACGGCGGTGATGTGCCAAAGAGGTGAGTCGCGGTTCGTCACAATTTTTCGTTTTTTTTTTTTTTTAACGATAGCGCGCGCGGACGACGCAAATCCCGTGCGTCGGATAAACCGCGGCGCGGTGATGGTGGTGGTGGTGGCCGCGGCGGCGGTGAGTGGCCTTGAGAGAACGCAATAGCCGATACGCCGCTTACGCAATTAAAGGCGGCGGCGGCCGTACCGTGTACTAAACACACCGTACACACATTACACATTAAGCGGCGGCGTCGGCTGGCGGTAAGCGATTGTTGTGCGCGTTGCGACGTTGCCGGCGGTCACGGTGCCCGGAGACTTGAACGCCGCACAGAGAGAGAAACAACATCAATTATTGTGTACGATATTCGGTAGGTACGCCTCGAAATGGGTTGAAATCATATTATTACAATTACAATTATTATTATTATTGCTACGTACAGCTGTTAATAACCACATAAGGGGAGGAAGAAGATGGTAGGAGACCAATGAGGGGCGGGCGGGGGCGGTCAAGCGGTTGAAAACGCTGACAAGTCGACGGCGGCGGCGGCGGCGGCGACGGTATAAATATAAAATATACAATTATCTATCTCGTCGTACCACGAAGAGCCGTTTTCGATTCCGACGACGGTTGCACAATAATAATAATAATAATAATAATTAATATTATGATTCGAGAAGGTGGCGGCGGCGGCGGCGGCGTTGTACATATAATTTATATACACGGTCAAGGCCGTTCGCCTTGGCCCAGTCGGCGGCAAAGAAAAGTGAACCGAGATTGGCGGCGGCGAAAGAACCGCGAAGAAAGTGCGTGCAGGCAGAGTTGTTCTGCTTTTACTTTCTTCGGGTTTGATCTACTCTCGTGTGGTGATGAAGGTCGCCGGATTCGCGTAATACAATCATATAATAGCAACAACAACAACAACAACAACGGCGACGACAATAGTATAACATAATGAAATGGCGCATTTCTCCGGCGGCGGCAGATCACCATGATGCGCACTTTGCAGGCGTGTATTAGCACCTTGTCGTATCGCAACAAAATATGTATTGTGCATTTGGCGTTTCCATTTCGTTATAAAAACAAGCGCGTAAGGTTGGGTAAGGTTAGTAAAAAAAAAAATCAACAAAACATTGATCCGAGAAGAAGAAGCTGGATTTTCAAAATTTACCAGTCGCGTTTCTCCATCGTACGCCATACACACAAACAGCACACATGCACCACACCAGGAAGAGATGCCCCCGAAGAGTTGAAGGCCTTCTTGGACGACAATGTGCGAGAGCCCGATCGGCCTGAGGAGGAGGAGGAGGTAAACAACGCACACATACACACACTAGGAAGTGTCGTTGTCGCCGAGTTCACCTTGATCAAGCCCAACCACACGCGGCGGCAACGCCGATGTAAACAACAACCCGGAATGGACACAATACACGCTAACAGGTGAAATATGCGTGCAACGGGCAACGGCTACGATAAACATTCTTCCTCCTCCAAGTCGCCGCCGTGCTTTACACACGCTGGAGTGTAACAAACTTGCTCGGGGCAGGTCTTTTACCAATATCGGAAAACACAAAACAATAACAACAATAATATTACATTGCCTTTTCCATTCGTACAATAATATTATTGTTGTTACCCATTATCGATCACACTATTATGTTAAACATATTTCAATGGCGCGCGCACAACACCCGGCTATTGTTGTACTGTGTGTGTGCGCGCGCTGTACCTACGGTCTCATACGGCCACGGCGCGTTGGCCTCACGGGGTAACCCCAAGGGGGCAGCACACGAGCACGTCTATCGGATAACTTTCTAAAAACTAATCCATATAATATTATGACATTTTTTATTATTATTATTATTATGCCCGACCCGGTCCCCTTACAATGTGGTGAGTAATTTTTGAAGGAAAAAAAATATATATATATTATTGTCGAGACCGCCGGCCTTATTATACGGCCCGTGATTAGGTATTATTATTATTATTATTATCTTATTGTTATTGAATAATTAAGTAACTAATAACGCGCGCCTTGGGTCTGGCGGCAGTGTACGCTTGTTGCAGCAACAGCGGATGGATCGAGCAACAGTACACACATCCCTACCTCTGAATTTTATAGAAAACAAAAAGTTGTGGTTTCCAGGGAATTCTATGTTGTCTCAACAAGTCTTGAATGTCTTTTGGGAACCGAACCCCGACGACCGAGTAACGGGAAGTCGGGTTAATTCGCTATACTTTATAATAATATGTTGCTTATTGTTGTTATTTTATTGGGACACATGAGAACGGACGTGCTCTCAAACGAAATCTATATCTATTTTCTTTTTCGGTCACGTATTGTTTTGAATTTAAATAATAATAATAATAATAGTATATTATTATTATTGTCTAGTTACTTGGACCTGAACGGTTGTATATATAGGCACTATACATAGATATAATATTATAATATCCCTCAAAGCGTTACTAATATATTTTAACCATTGTTTTTTTTTTTTTTTTTTTAATTGAAATATTTATTTGTTTGAAAACATTTCTGTTAAAACTGTTGCGGTTTCCAAAGCCGAAGACGACACCGCCGCAACCGAATCGCTTATTGATCGATAGGAAATATTATTCTCAGTGGGATTTCGGCCGACATATATTAAATGATCGCACTCCTACGCTCTGTGTTCGGTTGTCGATTGTCAATTATCTCTCATTGCGGAGTCGACGACG